TTGTTGCTGAGTAAGTTTCATTCATGATGTTTCCCTTTTAAGCCTGTATTAATTTTGACTGGTTTTACTATAACAAGCCTAACTACCAATTTGGAGGCGGGTGATATTTAAAATGAACGAGAAGTTTGAAAAAGGATAGACATTAGCTGTGACGGAATTGCCGTTTTCTTTTGTTGGACAGGAAGGAGTTGATAGGAAGGTTGTCTTTAATAGTCCCTGTGCTTGCTAATTATCACCTCAAAGGAGTTTTCCGTAGGGATGTGGGAGTCTGTCACACAGATGTTGTGTTTGGACTGATTACTGATCTGAGGTGCTGCTGCTGCATACACGCTAGACTGTGAACAAACATGTTAACAAAACATTTAATGGCTGTAACCAAGTTTCAATATTAATAGAGCTCATAAATAGGTATGTGCTCCATAAATAATTTCATTAATGTTCAAGTGGAAATTTTGTAACCGACTAGTCTAACAAACCCCTCGAAAGAAAGTCAAGAAATGTACTGCTTAATCTATGAATCAAACAATCGAATCCCATTCTGAATACAAACTCAATTACAAACTCAGTAGCTTATTATAAACAAATTCCTCAATGAAACGTTAGCTAACCCAAGTCAGCACATGTCAAGGTATTGTTGTTGTGCATCCGGGTTTGAACGTGATTCTCGTGTATGAAAATGACCTGTATTGCATGGCAGGTGGCAAAATCACAAGAAAAACTTGACGGCAACTATATGTTATTTTAGGGTATTCATCAAGATGTTGATATAAGATCTGTTGTTGCTGAGTAAGTTTCATTCATGATGTTTCCCTTTTAAGCCTGTATTAATTTTGACTGGTTTTACTATAACAAGCCTATAAACAAGCTTAATTATTATGTTAGTTTTTTGTCAACTAGCAGTAAAAGTATTGTTTAGTCATCTAGTCTCGCATTTCCTTAGTTATAAGAGTCATTCAATTGTGAATCAGACTACGGTGTTCACGCAGTCTGTTTGTTTTTGCATGCAGCCCCTGAAGCCTGTACTGCCTATCTTCTGCATTTTTTACAGAGTGCTTCATTTGCTAATGTTTAGAGCTGTTTGTTGCGGACACCATTGAACTTCATACATGGGAAGCACCCTGTTCTTCTCCTGGAAGACTACTATGTGTCTAGTGAAGTCAATGCTAAGCTCATCTGGTCAGTAACAAGAGCGGTAGCCCTGACGACCTCGGCTGGCCAAGCTCTGACGTCAAAGGGTTGACACAGTCAATTGGCCCGAGGGCTCGAGGGCTCGAGGAAGGCTATTTTTAGCCCCTGACTGATAAAGGGGGAGTAATCTGATTTTCATGTAAGCCGAACGCTTCCGCCAGGCATCCAGCAAAGAAACCGGATCATTAGCATGTTGGTAAACTTTAGCCGATGCTGGGAGGGCGA